GCACTGAATTTTCTTGCATGGAATTTTGATCGGTATTTTCTTGCACTGAATTTTCTTGCACGGAATTTTGAACGGTATTTTCTTGCACGGAATTTTGAAGAGAATTTTCTTGCACGGAATTTTGAAGAGAATTTTCTTGCACGGAATTTTCTTGCACTGAATTTTCTTGCACTGAATTTTCTTGCACTGAATTTTCTTGCACTGAATTTTCTTGCACTGAATTTTCTTGCACTGAATTTTCTTGCACTGAATTTTCTTGCACTGAATTTTCTTGCACTGAATTTTCTTGCACTGAATTTTCTTGCACTGAATTTTCTTGCACTGAATTTTCTTGCACGGAATTTTGAACGGAATTTTGAACGGAATTTTCTTGCACTTTGTTTTTGCATGGTCTTTTCTTGGCACGGCGTTTTCACACACCGCGTTACTGCACAGCAGGTTTCTGTGTGGTTCCGCTGGTTTTCTCACGCGGCGTTTATTTGCGTGGCGGTGCCCACACGGTGCTTTTCGTAGAGCGGTTTTGCGTGCGGCGGTCGTCGCGCAGCGAGTTTTTCGCACGGGATTTTGCCTGGCAGTTTTTGCCCAGCCGTTTCTTACACGATCTTTCGGGAGGTGCATTACTGCAGAGCGTATTTTTGCGTGGTGCCTTGCCCGGTTTCTCTCACGCAGCCGGTTTTTGCACGGCGTTTCCTCGCAGAGCAGCTCCCTGCACGGCGGCGTTTGCACAGCGGTTTGTCTGGTAGTTCTTGCACAGACTTTTCTTGTGGGGCGTTTTGATTGGGTGTCTTTGCACGGTGTTTTTTTTTTGCACAGCAATTTTGCGTGATGTTTTGCCCGGCATTTTTTACGCCGCAATTTTTGCACCACAATTTTTGCCCAGCATTTTTGGCAAGGCAAGTTTTTGCCCGGCATTTTTGGCACTGCAGTTTTTGCTGGGCATTTTGCAGGACATTTTTTTTGCATGGCATTTGTTGTATAGGCAGCTTTTTGCATGGCATTTTTTTGCACGGCACATTTCTTATACCAATTTTCGCATGGCATTTTTCGCATGGTGTTTTGCCCAACATTTCGCCCACCAGGTGCCTCCCAACCCAGCCCCCCCCTCACAGCCCCTCTCCCCCCCAGG